CCCGCGCGCCGGCTCCCCCCCCCCGCCCGCCCCTCTGCCGGCGGGTCTCCGCGGCGGCCCAACGGTCAGCCCGGGGAGCGGGACGCGGCCGCAGAGCTGCGCTCGTCAGGTGAACTGCCGGCCCAGTTAAATTCGGATGTAGAAATAACAAGAAAAAGTTACTGAAGGAGGAAGGAGGAAAGGCTAAATGGGAAGCCCAGAAGGAAGAAGAGACATTAAAAGGCACTCGAGCTAGGGATAGTAAAATAGCAGGCTGTTCTTAAGTTAAAACAGGTGAAGGAAAAGGCCTGAGAAAGCAGCACAAGGGCAGAAAACATGCAGGCCAGATTAAGCTGTCCTCCCAATCTCCCACATTCATGCTACTTTCACTTACTAAAGGCAGATACTCCCGCTGGATAGATAGAGAAGATCGAGCTCTTAAAAAAAAGTAACTCAGAGCTGCAGTTAAAGCAGCAGCCGAGGAAGGGAGGCCGAGGGGTTACGCTGGAGCCACGCGGGGTGCGGAGCAGAGCGTGCACCGCATACAGCATGTACGCTTAGGGACGGGCTGGTTTCTCTCTAACTGAAGGACTAGTGACTTACCCAGCAGACCGATTACTGTATGACCAGATACGTGTTTCATCTCTTTTGACATGCCTAAAAATTCAATTCATGAATAACAACTGACTGTACCTGTATATACAAAGCAGAGAACTCCTCCTTTACGGGAGTTCTTGATCTACTTTAAAAAGATGCATTTCAGAATTATTAATTCTTATTTCACTTTAATAAAGATGTGCATACAAGTAACAATATATGTAAAAGTGCAGTATTTTAGAAAGTCTTTAAGTAGTATTAACATAGCTCTTAGGTGTTATAAGAGAGAATACCACAAACGTACAAAAGAAACATTTGAGATGAAATCACAATCTAAAATCACCACCACTGTTGATGAGAAAGTAACAGGTCATGAGTAACTTAAAATGCATCTTGCCACATATCATTTCCTTAAATTAAGGCAGACAATACTTCAATAATGTAATTGGAATATTTGAACCAGTTGAACGTTATTCACAGTTGTAATAATAGAACTGAAGAGAATGCCAACAAGTTACCCGTGTTCTGTGTTGTCACGCTTTGTCATCCTCCTCTGTTGGTATCAAATTTTGAGTTTTGCCTCATAAACAATTTCATTTTTTGTAGACTGAAATTCAGAAATTCACCAGGTTCGTTATCGTAGTCAAAGTAATGGAAAGAAACATAATGCCCAGATTTACTGTCATGTTAAAAAATAATTCCTAAAAATATTTAAAGTGTTCTTAATTTTTCCAGTAACATTTCAGCAAAATTGTCACTCTAACCTTCAGTGTGGACTATTTCCTCGATATTCCTACACGTAAAACCAACAAGTTTGTTTTCCTGGAAGGCAACAGTTCATCTGCTTTAAAACACTAGCCATCAAACACCTGTCTTCCTAATTTCTCTCTGCTGTATTTCTTTTATTAGAATACTAGACCAAATGTTGTGTGTCGGAATGAAGACACAGAAGTAGGACAAAAATGCCTCAGAGCCTCTTGCTCCTAAAAGTAACTTTCCTTGACACCTATTAACTGTAAGATGATAAAAAAAAATACAGAAATGTTCAAAAGTCTGTGTCACTTTAGTGGTAAGTAGGCTAGGGTTTTAGAATTAATGGGTTACGATCAAAGTTTCTCTGTTTAGAATGAATCGCATTAAACAAGCAGGAAAGGAAGAACTGACAAAGATAAGAATTGGGAAATACAATAAAGTTGATATGAGGGAATAGTGATCGATACATGCGGGAAGAAGAAAAAGAATTCACTGGCTTAAAAAGAGCAAAACGACATGGTTCTCAGAGAACAGAACTATCATATAAGGCAACACATCTTGCAATGATTAATTGCTGTTAAATCTGAAACTCAGGTTTAAAGCTGTAGCATTCCTTAATCTGGGAGCTGTGCGGACTGACAATTCAGAGTTGCAGTATCTTTCATATATAAAAAAGGAAAAAAAAATTTTTTTTAAACATGCAATACACAGGAATAATGGCTCTGAGTTGGCATGCAGGTTAGGAGTTTGAACGAGATTTGTCAATAAAAGCCAGACTTATAATCAGGCTCAGGCTTGAAATTAAAAGTTTTCGGAACAACAGGTATACTGCAATGAATAAAGCTAGCTGTGAAGATGCTCAGGAAATACCATAGAAATTTATTAAGGGAGGGAGACAGGGACCCTTGGTTTCTGGAAATGATCCAAGGTACTAAAAATGACAAGAATTTCTTCCACCAAAGCTTTAAAAAAATTTTTTTTTTAATTTATAGAAAGAGAAGTTGACTTTGAACAAGCATTCCTATTTCAATAACGATGTTTTGCACCCTAGAAATCCCTCCCTCCAATATTGGTATTGGCCATGCCAATATTTTGCAACTCTAAAGTCAAAAGAACACTATTTCCACAATGATTATAGAAGTATATCCCTAACTGCAGACCATATAGATATGGATGTAATATACTGCAGAAGTGAAATACATTTGGTTGGGATGGGAAAAAAATTAAAATCCTTTTTGCAACGTAGTCTTGAATCTATTTCCCACCTCAGCCTAAAAAGAAATCAGGTCATCTCCACAGAATGTAAGGCACAGAATTTAACTAACAGACTGGGATAACATCCTTTTCTCAAGCTGTAATCACCAAATGCCTTGAGCAGCTGGCTACATTCCTCTCACACAGGCACACACACCTTCTTGCTTTCAACTTGTTTTTGTGTTCATCCTGATGCTGCAGTATAAACTGCTGTACTGCAAAAGGAAAACAGGGCCACCTGTTGCCTCATCTGAACAGTTTCCACACCTTCCATTTGCTGGAATTCCCTCTTGTGCCACATGATGTTTCTTAAGGCTCTTTAGGCCAAGTGTAATGATGTAAAACACCTCAGACTGTCAGCTGTCAATCCAGTCTGCTTCTTGCTTATGGGATGCTGGACTGTGCTTGCCAAGTTTCTAAATAGTGAAATCTGGAAAGAAAGACTTCAGGTTTCAAAATGATCCTGTCACTTAGGAAAGAAGTTTCTGATAGCCTGAAATGTTTCAGGTTGCAAGACCCTGGAGAATTTGTCAGGAAGCACATCACTACACTAGAAGTAACAGATACATACAGAACAATGCCCCTCCTATTTGCTGACCTTTTCTGAATTCACTCATCACCAACTATGCCTAAAGACATAACCAAGAATGAGGTTTAAACAAAAACAAACAAACAAACAGGAAACTAGTAAGTTGGAAAGAAACACAATAAACTAAAATGGTTATATTTAACTTCTTTCCTAGCTCTTTTGTATGCTATTTCTTGGGACAGGATCTTAAAATTAGCTAGCAGGAAGGTGCCTGGAAACCTAGTCCATGCTCCTTCCAACTTCCATCCCCAGCTGTTTGGACAGTTAATGCATTGAACCAAATTTACCCTTCTGTCCTGGAAAACGGGAGAAGTCTCATCATCTTTAACGCATTTGGCACAGATAATACATTCCATGTACTGGATGTAAACAGGCTAATCCCCACTGTTATATATGCATGGCACATAGCTTACATTACTATTACATTTTTAAATAAACATTCCTTCTGATGTAAAATCTAACAGTCAACAAGGAGTCTAGGACTGTTATAACATGTCATAACAGATAAGTATTCTTCACTGTACATAAGTTGTCATTTACGCTTCTATATCACGTCTGTGAGATATTAAAAGCAGAGACTGCACTACAATTTATCTCTGGTTAAACTGCTATTTCTCCCCAAAATTTTAGGTGCTTGCTGAAGCACAAAAAGGAACATGTAATTCTCTAAATTGTATCATACCTTTTTCTTCACTGACTACGGATTCCAAAGGATTACCTTAACTTGCTTCTAAAGCCAGTCTGTCATATTTAAAGTAAGTACAGTAAAACAGAAGAAATCATTCAGTGACAATTCGCCTGCCAGTAGTTTTCTTGTCTATAGCTCAGGAAAGTAATAAGACATCAAGATTTTGTAACACACTCCCAATACCAGCTCTAACCTAGCACTTCAGATTCTCAGGCTTCCCCTCATGGCAGAAAACCGTACTATTTCACTGATGCAGCTTCTTTCCTGAAGAAAGAAGCTGCAATTCAGAAGATGCAAATTAAGTTTATTAACTTTATAAATTTATTAATTAGTGTTTTCTTAAATTAAGAAAAAACACTGCAAAAGGAACTGCAATTTAAATTAAGAAAACACAGAAATCTGGAATTTCCAACATTTGTTCAAACATATCTTAGTTCTTGCATTGATTAAACAGCAAAGATGTACACAGGCAGCTAGATTAAAAAAGGAAACGTAGAAACAGTATTTACACCCGTTTTCTAAAAACCAAGTAATTTTTGTTTTTACAAATGATAACTTGTTCTCTTTTTGAAATGCACAAGCAAATGAAAATAGGTTTAAAATAAAATCTTTTCTGTTTTTTACTAGAGATTTTTTACATCACTGACTTACTAACTTTATAATTTTACAGGCCTTGCTGTCTGTCTTCTGCTTCTGATGATAAAGCTGAGTATTTTATAACAGAGGTAACATGCAGTCCTTCACACTAATTTAATTTTATTAACTCAGTACCTATCAGGTTATTTTTTAAATTCCCATAAAGTAGAACATGAAAAACATTGCTTAATTGCCTGTAACACTGCTTTAAAATTGTGTTAGCATTTTTTTTCTTAAATGGAAGAAGAATTAGTTTTAATTTTACATATTATCCGAGCATTTTTCATGTAGCCACTGTGCAGACTGAGAAAAATCTTGAGCAATCCTTGGTAATTTACAAATTGTTTCTCCATCTGAAGTTTGCCTCCTGTACTGCTAAGCAAAACAAATAAATAAATAAATAAAATTAGTCACAAACTAGCACTTAGATGCTATATATAATCATTAGTCTATATCACAACTTCAAACAACTACATGCGTACGTAAGCACATACACATCATTTTTTCTTAAAGATCACTAGGCTGCCTCTTGGAATATCGTCTCTCAGGACAGCGTTCATGGAAACTGATTTTCACAAACTGTCTCACAATGCAACTTCTAGAGATATAAAGCATGATTAATAAAAAAGGTTGAACTATCTTACAGTTATTTAAACATTAACTTTTCTAGTTATTAAGAAATTTGTGGCAGCAGAGCATTTGCTGCATTTTTGAAATGGATTAATCTTAGAGGAAAAACATCTGTTCTGCTAGAGTAAGAACATGATTATTGGTACCAAGCAGAGGAAAAAAAACAAATTATTTTGATCTCTTCACAGCATCTGTGTTGTAAAAATATGAAACAACAACTTGGATCAATAAAGGCAGCATCACTCCTAATTGAAGTTATAAAAGTTATGTAACAACATAAACTGTGGCCCCTAGAACGAAGCGGTGAATTACTGACTCCAGTAGACAGCACAGGGCCGTGTCTTGCATGGAGTAGCTCTCCAGTAACAGTAGAATACGTCTGTTGTATTCATTACCGTTATTGACAAACATGTTTCTTTCATAAAATATGTTGTGAAAATTAAGTGAAGAGTGTTATGACTGCAACTCAAGTCTTCCATAATGAAAACAAAACCTGAAAGACTGCAACTCAACCTATGCAGAAAGGACACAATATCAAAGCGAAATGAACAAATAACGCGAGTATGTACAATTCTATTTGAGTGATTTTAGTCTTACTCTCTTAAAATAAAAATCAAGACTTCATTATTTAAAAAAGTCTTGCATGTTCAAATAATACTGAACCTAATAGCTGATTCATGATTAAAAAACAGAGGATCCAAGTTGGAAAAAATACAGTAACTTGATGTCATTATTTCTGTTGGTAAATGCTGAAAACAAACATTTTTAAACATTCATGTGATTATTCACTAGTGAGTAGACAGACCGGGGTAAATTTATTTAATCTACAGAAAGACAGACATTCCTTAGCTTCTGGCTGAATAATGTTCCCTTTTACTCATGTTATTACAGATATAGAATTAAATGTAAAAACAGTCAAGTAAATATAATTGTGCTGCTTAAGTACTGTAACTCGTACTGAAATTGTAAAAATGAACACTGCATGACGTAACCATCTCTAGATACAAATACACAATACATATTTAGAGAAGGTAGAAGCACAAAATGAAATTCCATAAATACTATGTACGTGTATACTTAGGTATGCATTTCATAAAATATAAACAAAGTATAAATGCTAGCATTAGGAATATATTTCAGGATATGTTTTAAATCAAAATTTAAAGGTTTAGGCATTGCAGTAATTTGTGCTCCCAGAATACCAGAAACAATTTACAGAACATTTTCTAAAAGTTTAGATATATTTTATAATCCTACGCTTTTTACACCTAGTTCTACTTTTAATTGTCTGAATGACACCTACAAGAACTGTGTCACAAACTAACTGCAGGTTTTTTTTCCAGGAAACAATGCACTAAAATATTAAGAGAAATAATACACAGAAAATCAAAACGACCCTCCTTCCACCCCTTCAGCCACAACTTACACACTTTTCCTTCTTTTTGCAACTTCTTCAGGTGAACTATGAGATTATTTTCTGCTGCTTTAAGTAAATTTTCAGGAATGTCCTAATGGAAACACAAACATGTGTTTTATATTTGTTTAAATGTCTCCCAATTATTTTGATATAAAAACATCATGGTTTATTAACATGGTAATTCAGAAGAAGAGAATCTATGTTCAATGTACAGCTACATAGTAAGAAAAAAGACTTATAAATGAGTAAATCAAAGTTTACACTAGCTGAATCAGTAGCCTAATAACACACTTTTGTTTACTTTGCTTATTTTTTTGCATTACGCAAACTTTGGCCAACACCAAGAAGAACTTCTGAACTTGGTCTGTACTGAGTTGTCAGCGTAGCCAAACATTTTTCCATGGGTCTTAATGACCAAATCAAAGAATCATTTCTCCTCAGATACCTATTACTTCTATTCCACGATAATATTTGCATGGGTTTAAATAGCTTTAACAATTAATATCTGTAACAATTAAAAAACCTAAAAAATCCAACAGCTTCAGGGGAATGAAGAGTATCTTAAAATTTTCCAATGCTGACTAGGTAAAAATCAGTAGTATATCTCAAAATTCCCTTCTTCAGCACTATCTTCCTAAAAGTAATGTCTCTTTCTAAAAAATTAAAAACGGTTCTTTCCTAGCAAGCGAAATTTTCCTGAAAAGTGGTTTGATAAATTGTGACTTTTTAAAAAAAAAAAAAAAAAAAGCTTTAAAAAGTTTACAGTCGCACCTTTTGATATCAAACCTTTAGTAATATGGAGAAAAATCTTATCAAATAGCGATAGGAGAAGCTATTTGTGCTTTTATACTGCATGTACACATGTACATTTGATTTGCACCACATGTACAAGTTACTGAGGTTATGTGAAGAATAAAGTAGCAAAAAAAAAGTTTCTTACACCTGTGTAATGATACATACGAACTACCCAACTTCTGAATGCAATATTCAGTGTCTGTCGAATTGCAGTGCGCCTACACCCTCCTGTAGGTTGATGAATGTGGAACTAGATGTCCTAGCCAATCTTTTAAAAGACTCCAAACACACTCTGGCATAATATCTTTCTTGTTAATATACAGAATGAAAGAAAAACAACAATAAACAGTCATCTTACATCTTCCATTTTGATTGAAACACTACAACTTATTTTTGTTTGGTCCTATAAAACCAAGCTTAGGAGCACTTAGTTACTGAAGTGGGAAGTTAGCAAGAATCATCTGGGCTCCAATCCAATAAAGTGTTTAAGCAATACTACTTAAATGCAGAGTCACACATGTTTTGAACATGCAGAAATCTTTTTTTAAAAAGCCACCATGGTCAGTATTTAAGTCTTTACTCAAATACTTAGGCTGCTACATACATAAATATAACCTCAGTTTTCTTTAGTTGGATGCAAAATTTTTTTTTAAATCAGTAATTACCTGGTATACCATCTTTACAAGCTCCGAGGATGTATATGATTTTCCAGCATTCTTCTGGAAAACACCTATAATTTGCTGTTCACGTGCATTTCGGTGAGAAATGTATCCTTGAATTCTAGCGTTTGCATCACGTACTACTGGGCCATGACCTAAATTGAAACACATGTACCATGTACCAGAGTGCTATTATTTAAAAGTAGAATTAAGTATGCTGTCGGGTAACTGACTCATTCTGATGTAAGCGCTGGTAGACTTGGAAATCTTATGGAAGGAGCAACATCTGTGTACATACCACTTTGACAGAGTATGCTCGTTGTTATAATATAACAGTTTTTTTGCATTTTTTTTAAATATAAATAAGCCAAAATTAAATTTGAATGTCTGCATCATAGTCTGCAACTGAGAAGGATGAAGATGGGAAGGGAGAGAAAAGGAAATAGATCTAAAAGGTCTGACTGGGGAAACGTAATACTTCTGATGGAATAAAGAAAGGAAGGAAGGACTACTTCAGTCTGTTAAAAAAAAAGGGAGGGGACAAAAAGAGTTCACTAGGTAAAAGGGTTTGAAAGATGACTTTCAGATTATTTTACTACCTCCGTCTGCCTTTCTCACTCTGGAATATTGATAGTGATGATTTAAACTGATACTGGACTGTGCACAATCATGGCTGAGGCAAAGGCCTGTGATCTAGTTTACTGTCCCTGTTGTGGGGGTAAATAACTAGCAGAGACAGAGGAGAGATAAGTAACACGTTTAACTGTGGTAGTTAAATCTTCCAGGATTGCTCTTCAAAACTCGCTCACACACTGCTCTCCTCAAGTACATATTTTCATCTACATGCTTAAAAATGTAAGAAAAAATAAAAAGAATCAACCTTGATACGTGGAAGCAGGAATTAAAACCTTTCTCGTGCATTTTTTATGCGGGTCATTTTAAGTTTGGCTGAACTTAAGTTAATAAACAGAACATACTTCACATACTTTTTTTTTTTCTCCTGGATTTTATCACGGCAGATCAGTAATGTCAAACTTACCGAAAGATCTTTGAATCAAATCAAAAAAAGGCTCAGTTGCAATTCTTATTGATAAAGCATTAAGCTTTGTGAAAGGTTAAATACTGCCTCATGATAAACTAAAATGTTACATAAAATCAAAATATTTTTCAGAGTTGAAAAAAATCAAATATTTGAGTTATATGCACACAAATTAAACTGTATGTTTTACTTACAGAGAAAGTTACTTGCAGTGTTGTATGAATATTTCTGGCATGCTCTTTATAGTAAAGTTTCCTATACCTTTGCTTGTATAACTCTCATGTAGAAGCAGCAGGAAATTCCAGTTTTGTCAGGTTAAAGTCTAAGTCATTTATAAAACAATGAGACTAGGAACCTACTGTAAAAATAACTTTGAAGTTATTGGGTACTGTCCAAATCAAAGTTTCTTTTGAGATTGAATTTAGAAACAAACAACACCCCCTGCCAAACATCATATTCTTTACTTGTACTTTTAGGTTGTTAACTGACTAAATGGGGTTTTAGTTTAAGACTTTCTAATTTAAAGCTTATTTTGCCTGAGGACAGCACCTTACAGAAGAAGAGCCATTATTTCCAAGTTCTGAATATTTATGAAAAAAAAAAAGTGTCAAAGGAAACTCTCTTTCAGCAAGAGTCAAAAACACTTATGCATCTATCTCAACTCATGTAATTACTTCAGATGACCTACGAATTAAAACATACATTGAAGCTTATCTTATATAAAGACAGTGTTATAAATAAACGATACGCAATATGTCAGTATAAACTATGCTGTCATATGCACATATATCATTATTTCAAATACATTTTTAATCTGAAGCTCTATTTCCTTGCAAAATAACTTAGGAATATAACAGCATCTCTAGTAAGTACGTTACTTTTTATAAAAACACAAGTTTAAATTTACAAAAACAATATTAAGATATGCAGAGCCAGTTCTTTTAATGCCAATGTGACTTCCATCATTAGAGGATGTATTCTAAATTAAGGTCTGTACATGGAATCAATCGCAAGACGGCCTTAAAATCAGTCCCTGCACTTCCAGATTATTTAATTTACTTAGGTGGACTATAAAACCAGTCAGTATCTGGAACGGAACCCACATTTTGCAAGGTTAAAGAAGCTTCATAGCCATCAGGCCACCCAATCTGTAGCCACTGTGTATGCACATACAAGGTTTAAAATGACATCAGAAAGCTTGTAACTACATCTATCTAGGTGTGGATCTGTACCATCCAGCATTTCTTATGGGCAGCAACATTGTTAACTTCATCAACAAATTAATACTTACTGAAATTTAAAATTTTTCCTCAAGATGTGAAATACAACCATCTTTCCAATAATAATTTAGACTTTAGATCAGACAGCTTCATATTATTTAAGGCCTCTATATAGCCTGGATAATCACAACGAGTAAGTATTTATTCTCATCATATTCTGTGAAGTAAAACTAATTCCCTTACTTTACAGGTGAGAAATTAAAACACAAAAGGATAAAACTCAGAAATGACTGGCTCAAAATCTTGCAGACCCTAACTGCAGTACCGTTTATTCTATCTTATCAAGTAACACTGTATTATTACACGATTGGGAGCCCTCTGCTGGCAAAAACACCCTTTTCTTCTTTTCTTTTTCTTTTCAAGGATTCTTATCACGTGTTAACTATAAACGGGCTGTAGTGCATATTATGCCTGAAGTCATTTTCACATTAAATTAAAAATAAAACAACACACACACATGGAAAGGAAAGGATTGGCCAAATTCAGCTACTCACACTTAGGAAGCAGTCAAGTTGTTACAAAAATTCATCTTGCTCCCCTAACGCAAGGGCTAAAACATAGGCAGGGGAGAAAGAAACAACACAAGAATTATGAAAACCTAAAACTATACTAAGATCAATGGATCCAGGTGATATAGGGTGTATAGGTAAAACAAAGTACCTTCTGTTATAGCTACCATTTTACTATAATAGCTACGAATAATATAACTAATTGTTTTGACTGGTAAATAGTTATTATATTAATTAGTCCTAAACCAGCTCAGCACATAACTACTCATCACTGGAAATGCATATCCTATTGTCTTCCTAATTGCAAGTACAGCATGAACATATTTACAGCAGTGTAGCAAACGGTTACAGATAAGTGGGACAAACATTCAACCTGAGTGAATGTGTAATCTAGATAAATAACGATTAAGGAGAGACCTAAATACAACAGATAAAAACGGATGAACGCAATAGAATTTAGCATATGTTTTTGGAAGGCAGAAATTTAATTAAGGAAATAGATTGTGTTTTGTAGGTATTTAAGAAAGAAAGAAGAACACTTGATTGACCAGTAGATTGAGATTCAAGAGCCTAAAATATTTTTTATTTTACCAGTAGTTAAGTCAATAATCATGAGCCAGTCACTATTTCTGTCTGTGTCAGCTTCCCCATCCATGAAATACATATAATGACATATTTTCTTAAGTGCTTTAAGATCTATGCATAAAAATGCTATTTAAGAGCACTTACTTCATAAGCAGCATATTTTAAGAATGAAGACAAAAGGGATTGGGCTACTTAGGCTAAACATAGAAGATTAATGGAAGAAGACAGAAATGAGAATGTAGATACAGTCACTCAAAATGACTAGTGCGAAAAAGAAGAAACAAGAAGGTCAGAAAAAGCCCTGAAACATAGCTCTGAAAGTGAGGAGCTTAAGCCTTAGTTACATAATGAATTCTTAAAATCCAATCTTGACAAAGAGACACGTGGCTTATATGAAAATTAAATGCATTCCCAAGGTTTGGTGGAGATGGAGGAAAAAAAATGAAAAGGAAAGTCATTGGCTGAATGAATCAGCAAATTATTATTAGAACAGCACGCTTGACCTCGTGGCTCCTGTTCAAATTCAAGCTAAGCCATTAACTAAGACAACCATCTGACAGTTCTGCAGCCTTCCAAGACAAATTTGTGGTTAATCTGTGACGTAAAGGACAGAAGGCACTCTCACAAAACATTAACACATTACCCATACTGGTAGGGTACATAGATGCAAAGGACCAAAAGAATAACTCTCATTCTCTTCCAGAATAATATTAAGAAGTCTGGATAGAGTAATAGAAGAAAACCAAATTTGCTCTATGCTTTCTACAAGAGCCTCTAGGTTTTCGGTACTGAACTTTTCAAAAGCACAAGACTCATCCTGAAATGGAGAAAGAAAAAAAAACAAAAACAAAACTTCATGAAAGAACAATATCTATCACTGAGAGATTTTATGGTCCTGCAACCTTCACGCCATAAAGTTATCTTAGCAGCTTTATGCTGGACACATTAAGTAATGAACTTGAATTGTTACATTAATAATAGTGTTTGATTGTACTACGAGTTCTCAAATCGTTAGAAGAGATACTTAAAAATGATATAGTGCATTTCAGTATACAACTAAAAATAATTACTGACCTGGATATATTAAATCTGGTTTCATTTGTAATAGTCTTTTCAAAGTGTTCATGTACTCATACAGGTCTTCAATTACTGTTGTTCCTTCTCCTAAAATACAGTCACCAGAAAATAAAGCATTTTCTTCTTCTAGATGTAAAGCCATATGATCATCAGTGTGCCCAGGCGTATATAAAACTTGTTTAAAGAACAAAAAAAAGAAAGCATATATTTGTCATGCAGGAGTCACATATGCATCGTTTTGAGAAGCTAGAAACAAATAATAATACATCTTTACATTTATAAAGTAGCATACAAAAATTAGCAAAGAATAGTAATGAAAAAATCTGAACTGTCAAGAGGATACCCATTTTGGCTAATCCCAGTCCATTTTCCTATACCATGTGGAGAACCACACAGATCATTGTCTCAGACATGCTTTCATTTACATGGCATATCATAACAACATCCGTATATTTTTTAAAAGTTTATTAAGGGAGCTGCTTAGCCATACAGAATTTGTGTTGCAGAGGGCTTTACTCTGGAGCTTTAGAAAAGGAAAATTGACACGTTATTTCCAGACTGAAAAATGTTAAAAGTTAAATGACATACCCTGTTCTGCTAAGTGCAAGTGTAAGGATGATGCTCCTGATCCTTTTAAAAATTTACTACATACTTCTGGACCCAACCCAGAGAAAATTCTGTCTCCTGAATTTTATTTTTGCCTGAAAGCCGCGGGACACAGTGGAGTGGAGCTGTCAAATGCAACAAGCAATGATGGTCTTTTAGCTGTTCTATATGCAGGTCAATAAACATCTTAAAGGTAAGGATTTAGGACCCCACAGCTTGAATGAATACTGCATTAGAATGCAGCAAAGCGTAAAAGGACAGCTGATACGTATATAGTAACTTGAGCTGCTAAGAAGCTGCACTGCAGTGTCCCTTCACTAAGATTATTGAAAGGCAGAAGGCTTCACACCGAGACTGATTCAAATTGAAATTATGTAACTCGGAGCAGGATCACTGCTGCAATTCATCAGAATCTTCTCATCCACTGCAGATGCATCAAAGCAGAGCTCAGGAACTTACAGAGCTGGTGCCAAACATGGTGTACAGGCCAATTTAAAACAGCACCCAGCCAAGTCAGCCACAGGGCTGGGAGGCCGGAAGCACAGAGGTGTCTGATGCAATGGCCCCTAGCTCTCATTGAGCATTAGTTCAGCAGAAAGTAGGTGAACCATTGTCTTGTAGAGGCAACATAAAATCAAGTCGATGGATTCTATCTTGGTTTTGTAGGAACTGTTACATTCCAGCTCCTGGTGAAAGTTAACCAGCAAGCCTAACCACTAACATGGATGAAAAATATAGCCTAGCAAACCACTTTGAAAACTTGAAGATTGCTAACTAAAAAGGTAACATGGATACTATTGTTTTAGAACCAGTGGGGAATCTAAAGAGTCTCCTTAAAATACTGACTGAATTAACCAGCTGAGAATCCATGCTTTCAATGAAAAGTAAAGTTTGGTTTCATAACTGCAAACTTCAGAATGTGCCACCTCCGTCCTGCTTGGACTCAAATTTTAACAAGTGGTTTTCATCTCTTATTTTGTCCAAACAAGGGCCACTCACAGTTGTGATATGTCTTCAATCTCCCCCGGATCTTAAGTTCTTAACTTCTTTGGAGAGGCTTCTTAACTTCTTTGGAGAGACTAAAGGCTAATTCCTGATGACATTCATAAAAACAGTAAATAAATCCCTCCTGAATCATGATAGGAAGTCTACTTGTGCAAGTAAGTATTGGCAGGATCAGATGTATGGATTGCCAATCATTAAAAATTAAGATGCATAGAGACATCAGAATTCTGAGGGAAAAAGTGATCTAGCAAACCTGCAGAGATTGACATTTACCTGAGCGTGGCTCCCTCTGTCTGTAATACATCTCCCTCTTTAAGATAGGAATACTCATGTTCCCCTTCTCCTATTTTTTCTTCACGATGAGGGACACGTGGAAGCTTACTGATGCGATATTCAGAGTCTATTTAAAGAAGTAAAGAAAAAAAATTTCACATTTTAAATATGTCACTAACAAAGCTGTTTGCACAGAAAAGGTACTTTTTATAGAAGCACCATTAATCATTACCTTATATGAATGTAAAATTAAAAAGAAGGAATTCTGTACAGTAATACTACGTTTATTCCAAGACACAAACACCGAATAGCAAAAACCTCTGATTCTGAATACAATTTTATTGTGTACCAGCAGCAATTTTGGAGATGGAAAAGCGAAAGCCAAATTAATAAAGAAACTTCAATTATTGATTTATTACATTTTACAGATTTTTGATTTTTCTTCTCGACTCTTGACAAAACCTAAAAATCAAGTTTCTAAACCAGCACAGAGATTTCTGCACTCAAGTCTGACTTATGACTCATAAAAGCACCATTCAGCATTTGCCTAACACTGGATGGCTCCCTTTTTGATCTGAACTTCCCTCAGCATCTGCAGTTCTAAAACTGTGCATGTTCTTTGAACACCTTGGCCGGATGCTATGGATAGCAACCTAGAAATCAGGTACCTGTATAACCCTTGCAGGGCTTAATAGCCATCCTTAAGGACTGACAAGATCAAAATCCTCACTGAAACCAATACTGTTCTCAGTAGTGTCCAGCCTTCTTTGGAGGTAAGCACCTGGCAACGTTACAAAATCGGATAAAGCTGCAGCTCATGACAAAGTCTGACAAAGCTAAGAAGAATAACATTATCCATGATGCTTATTCTCTTCTCAGTTATTTAAGCAGAAGAGTCACTTACTGTGTTCCAACATGAAACAAACAGATTAGAATTTACTTGCAAACTCCCCCACCCTCTTCCCTTTGACTTGAGCCTAAGAACTTATCAATCGTTACCAATGGTCAGCTGTAAGGAATCTAAAAGTTGCATTTCCTTTTCAGAAAGGAAGTTATTAAGTTCTTTACTGCTTTCACTGAAGTAAAAATAAAAGTAAATTTGTCACTACTGTCACTGCAGAGAGGAAGAAGTATCAAGCTTTTCTCATATCCCTTTCTTCATATTGGGTATTGTGTATGTACCTGCTCATGGTAGACTAGGTTCTCTCTCACCATTCAAACAAGAAAATTCAGTATGAAATTATACACAGGTATTAAACTGTAGTACTTCAACGATAATACTCAGATTATTCACTGGTCTCATTCTCCACGCTGCAATGATATTATTAAATTACATGCAGTTTATATAGAGATTCCAAAAGAATAATCCAGCTGACTGTTACATACGAGCACCCAGTAAAGTTGTTTCTTGCTACATATCTAATACATTTTCAGCAATATCTGAAGTCTCTGGCCTACCATTCGGGATGTTTTTACAGATATCGAGTATTCCACCAGTATGATCAGGATGCCAGTGAGTCACTAAGATTTCTTGAATTGAGATGTTGAACTCGGACAGTGCCTGTTTTAAACAGCCAATATATTCAGGAATAGCTGGCTCCCCAGTGTCAATAAGGATCCTTCTACATATAGACCAAAGAAGGGAGAAAAACAGAGAATTTAGAGTGCTCATGTGACAGTTAAATTACGTTTAAAAGAAACCCCCAAACAACGCATTCAGACATGTAAATGTAGTACATAACAGGTATTTGCTGCTAAATTTTACTGCTATTTTTAATCATTAAACCAACTAAGTACCCTATAAACAATAATTTTCACATATACTCAATATTCAGTCTGTCTGTATGAATTATTCGAATTACAGATTGTTTCCATAACATACACACAACTGTCTAGGCTCCAGTGTCTTTAAGTTAGGCGCAATACAATTCACATATTGCTTTTAGGTGCAGCTCAGCCGTGGACACAAGCAACCCTGCTTTCACATATCACAGAATCCAAATCAGTGTTTTGCTAGGTCTGGACTACTTTAATGCACCTCAAATCCAAGGACTCTGTACTAATTTCCAGGAATCAGCAAGATATTACAGATCCTTGGGTTACTTGACAAAGAATCACGGGGGGTCCACTCTAGCCCAGGCTAATTTTTTTCCCCAAATCTACTAAAGAGACTTACAAAGTTAACACTCCTCAATGGGAAACTTGCCATATTTAAGGTATAAGATATATCTCTATATGTAAGAATCTATACGTTCAAGATACCATCTCTTACCTCTGTGATATTTTCTCCTATGGTAGGACAGTTAACAAGGTGGCTAATTCACAAATCCACAAACTTTTTATTTTGGACAAGTTGCAAGAACTATCATTTAAAGTCCTTTTACAAATAACTAAGCGTATGCTCCCAAAAGCTGGCAAACAAAGCAAGTCTTATAAAAGTTACTTAAGTTTTTTTTCCCTTGCTAACAGCAAACTTCCTTATGGCTGTGACAAGGCAACTACATTCACAGCACACCCACCTCTTCCCTTCCCCCATTAAAAAAACTTATTTTTTCTTTTTCAGGTAGTTCAAATCATTATTTTTCCTTTGAACCCTACACACTTGACACTGCAAACAGGGACAACACCCAAGGTAACACGCCGCTCCGAGAAGAAGAGCGGAAAGCAGCTGGCTTTCGCAGGAAGCCAGGAGAGCCTCGTCCGGTCTCTCAGAGGGCGAAGGAGCCCCCCGACAGGCACGGCCTGCGCCCCCTCACGGCACTGGGCCCCACGCGCCG